TAATAACTACACTGATGAAAGTGGGTTTGGGCAGTGAAAATCACTAAAAGAATTCCAAAATGAGATCAGAAAACAACACTTGCTAAACTTTTTCAATAGTACTTTATAAACTCRTATTTCTGGCTGGTGGCCTGACAGAAACACTGTGTGTACTTGACACACCCCTTGCAATGAAAGGTGCCCAAGGCGGGCACGATGAGGTCCCTGACTGAGGAAGTCAATKAACCTTTGTTTTAGCCTTTTGTTCATACTTGATGTAATGGAAAGCTTTCACAGAACAATGTTTGTGGGACAGAACAGACAGTAAGGAATTAGTGGATTAAACAAAAGGTGGAGATACTGTGTTTGCTGRAAGTTGTGCTTTATGGTAATACTAACATTATATTTACCATGTGGACCATTACTGTATCAGAAATAAATATCTATCCAATGGGTGAATTACATAAACTTATTTCTTTGTCAGCAGCGGGGGGAGTGGATCACGTTGCCTTTGCAAAATTAGCTTCTGAGCAGTCTTATTTCTGAGAGCTGCCAAACTTTAATGAAAAAATTAAAAAGCCAGTCAAAAAGAGATAATTTTGATGGCRTTAAAAATGTCCCATATATAGTTTTTGAACTGCTGGTAAGAACTGTTTTTAAAGACTTCTGCAGGACAGCAGAATAAAGAAGTAAAGAAAACCACCTTCTCATTCTTCTTCAGTAATAATCAAACTTCTAAGATACTCAGGTTGTATCTGAGCATGTTATTTTTGCTTCAGTATTTTATAGAGAAGGTAAAATACTGCTGGGCCATTTGAAAAAACCAAAGCAGGTATTTTCTGGCTGAAACTTCCTTGTAATCTGTAATGATATGAATATTCAGTTCATCCCTAGTTACATGGAGAACAGTCAATCTTTGYCTTCCTTTTCCACACATACTTGCATATTAGTATATTAGAATTTTATCTCAATGCTTTCTCTTTTCCATCTTCAGCCACCCAGTACCTTTAGTCCTTACTCAATGGTCAGATTTTTTTTATTTTTGATATCATAATTTCCTTTAAACTCTCTCAGTTTTGTTCTGTATCTGACTTGAAAGATGATGACTACAGCTCAATGCTGTTCTGCAGCTGGGGTTTCCCAGTGGAAAGTGAAGCAAAGTGCAGCTGTGTCATCTGTGCAAAACTCTCAACTATGGTCTCAGGATGATACTTCCCTTTTTTTTTTTTTTGCAACAGCATGATATTGCCAGTTCAAGAATCTTTATTCTGAGGAGCGAAATACCAGTTTCACCCTCTGAAAATATGTGCTGTGCCCATTTGTGCTTTTAGTATCAACCTTCAGAAATTACTGTGCTATGGTTTYGTCCTTACTGTCTCCTTCCTGTAAATTACAACAGCAGGCTAATTTATTACAACTGTCAGGAGATGTTTCAGTATTTTTAAAGTGTATGTAATTTGGGAGGCCTGCAGTCAGCTTGAATAAACAGAAATTAAGCAATTAACCTCAGCACACTGGAATATTATCCCAGTCATGATTGCACACTCAGAATCAAACGGACTATAAAGAATCAGTGCAATCATTTCATACCACAATGGCTGGGTGGTACCAAAATGTGTCTTTCTTTCTGTCTGATAGTTGGCTGAATCTGTAGGGTCCCCCATACCTGWTCTGACAAATGTGGTACTGAGCTATGCCCTCTTTGCACTTCATATTGTTTTGCTCCTTCTGTCTACACTTACAACCATTAAACCAGAAAAGTCTGCTGTCAAAATGCTGWACAGCCTTTTCCTAGGAAATACTCAGTATAGGCTTGTGAGGACTGTATGTTTGGAAGTGAATCACTGTCAGGTTGATAGCTGTAGAGAAAGACACCAACTTCACTGGGATAGATCATAGAAATTCTCTCTCCCTGAGCAGAATGTGCTCTTTGGCAGTGTGGCATTTGAAGGAAGTTGGATTTAGTTTTTGGCTTGTTTACTTTTATTCACAGTAACAAACTCACTCAACAGCAGGACCACATCCTATGATGCTGCTGCCTAAACCATTTGTTCCCCAGTCTATGCGTGTGTGTCTCTATATGAATGTGTGTGATGCCAAGAAATTGACAGGTCCCAGAACTCCAGAATATCAGGATTTCTTTCTTTGCCATCTCTACATTCTCTACAGATAGCCAGTTATTGAATGAATACTGCATGAGAGAAGTTTAGTCTCACTCAGAGGTAACATGACCAATTTATTCTGACTTCTCTCAAAGTCAGAAATGCACCAGTTCAAATGAAGAAAAAGCGAATGTCTGAAAAAATCATTGCTGGTTTAGCTCTCTGAGTTATTTAGTAGCATAGATGAGGACATATATAGATGAGGACATATAATACTATATTTTAATGAATAAGCAAAATATTTTATATTACTATATTTTCTRTATTTTAATTATTAAGCACTGCATTTTATGTTATGATTGATTTAAGTCTCTTCTGTAAGGCAAGAAAGAATTGTCTTTGTTGCATCACATGAAGAAACAGATTTGGTGCCAGTGTCAAAGAATTTGTTGTTTTCATGTGGTTTTTTTTTGTTCAGTATCTTAATATTTTCTCTTAAACTGGCTACCCACCTGCAGCTCAGAAAACAAGTTCAGAGAAATACTCAAGCAGCTTATAGGAGTGTTGACAAGGATCACAGTAAATATTCTTCCCTGTCATATCAAGAAACTCATTTAGTATGACAGATACAAATGGACATGGCACGTTCATCATGAAACCATGTTTCAATYAGGAAGTACTAAAACTGAGAACTTAAGTCATGGATCCCTAGAGTAACTTTGCATCAGTCCAGACTATAGGTGAGGGTTCTTTATTCCTGTTTTCATGTGAGCTGCTTCAAATGTATTCCAGCCCTGAATACTTGCTTTGGAGACCCTGATGCAACCTTCTGAAACCTTCCAAGAGATGAACAGCAACAGCCACAATCTTCTTACTTTTTTTGAACAGAAGATTGTAATTTCTGTGGCTTGCATGCCCAGACTCCCAGCTAAGAGGAGCTAGCTCAGATCTGCCAATGCACAGTACAGTTCACACTGCACCAGCTGAGGATCTACAYCTGAATACTGGATTCATGGTTTTTACTGCCCAAACTCCTGCTGAAGTGTTGATATATTGGTGTGGCTTATATGCTCATACCTCCAGTGTTTTGATCTGTTYATACAGAGGGACATGCTTTAAGAAAATGTCCATACTTTAAGAAATGTGTCTCTAGAGAGACTAGACAGGCTTGAGCTGTCTTTAGAACTAATATTGCTGGAATCATGATCAGCACTGATCTGAAAAGCTTCTSTGGCCTGTAGCAGAGCAAAGGGTAGCCCCAGGGTTCTGAAGCAGAAGAGCTTGCTTTCTCTCATTCCTCTTCCAAGGTCCACAATAATGTTTAAGCCCGTTAGTCATTACAGCCACATATGACTGATAGCAGAGATGTCACAGATAATTCTGTCTCCAAAGGTTTTAAGGAAATCCAAGAATATTAAGATTAAAAAGGGAGAGGCAGCTTCCAGTTTCCCAGGTAAAAACAATAGCTGCCATGAGCTCACCTCTTATTAGACACAAGAGAATTCATCAGAGACAGAAGCTCTATAATTATGTGTTGTGCAGCAAAAGGATGGCAAAAATCTACYCCAATAAGCATGCCAAAGTCAATCAGCTCTGAGGGATAAATCCATAGGAAATCGAGCATAATTAGGTCTAGAGCTCAAAGGTCAGTGAACACAGCAAAATGAAGCATTATATAAATACTGAGAGGAAGAATCCTGTTTCATGCCAGGAAGCATTGGTAGAACCTAAGCAAATACCTAAATGCGTAATCAGCTATCTTTAGTTATGTCAAATAAAAGCTTTGTCAATAGTTACAGGCATGTTACATTGCTTTGAGAAACAAAGTTTTTCCAAACAAAAGCACTGCTTTTATTTTACCTYCTTCACTACCTCCCTTTTAACAATTCCCCACCCAACTTGTCYGTACTGCAGGAAAAGAGGCAGCTAAGTAAATATAGTTCCACCTCAGTGTTGGAAGAGCTAATGATACCAATGCAGAGGAAAGGCAGCTCTGTTTTGGGGTATATGTGCCCTTTTCTTCTGCTGAGTATCACAAAGCATGAAATCCAGTCCTCTCCTACAAGTGACAAAGCCTGGCTATATTTAAAACTAAGAAGTACATTCCTATGACTGGCTTTTTCAAAGACTTCCAAGACATTTATGTCAATTCATTGCTTCACAGAAATATCGTATCATACCATTCCTGCTATGGAAAATTTCTCTATTTAGGCRCTCCATAGCTCCAGAAAGTTTTGCAAAATAAGGATAAAAAGTACAATATGCATCTGACAAGGGATCCCAGTCCCAGCCTAATGAGTATTTCCCAGATCATGCATAGAGGAGACAGGCCTCCCTCCACGTGGAGGTGCAGCTTTTTATGACTCTTCCTTGAGCCTTCCTCTGTCTCAAAGCACTGCAGTGGTAGTCAAACAACACTACTGTCCTCAAAGGTCAGAAGCACAGTTTGGCCCTTCTTGTCACACAAAATGATTTCCTAAAGTAATTTTTGGAAGAGGAAAAAAGCAAATGTAAATACCCAGGTACATGGAAGAAATTACAACTAACTTGTCCCATTGTTGTATTTAATGGTGGTAGACAACACARAAATTTGGGGGAGTACCAAGAGAACCATAACACTGAACTGTGAAGAAAGGTAGTTCAGAAGTGTAGAGTGTAAGACATAAGCCAAGCTGTAGGTTGAAAGCCTTCTGCCTGTAGCTAGTTCTTTAAACACCAAGTTACACATATATGATGCTGGTCCCAATACTAGCAAAGAAGGGGGAAATATTTCTAGAAACACAGAAAGTTGATTGCAAAAAGCAGAAAGTATTTACAGACTTGTTTATGCTGAGGCAGTCTACAGTCAAATCAAAGGAAGGAAAAAACCACACACTTATATATGGGAGAAAAATCAGCACATAGGTTTATTTTAAAGACTCTGAAATTGATGGGAAGAATTGCATTACATTAAGAGAAGCAGATCCAAGATCCACTTTCATGAAATTCAGTTTCTAGAGAAACATCACTGTGAAGATATATTACTCTATTTTAAAAATAGATTGAAAAAGGAAAAGGCTGTGTGTAATCCTTTGTTAGATAAATTATACCATCACKAAACCAGCTTTGAAAATTGGTTGCTTCTGCTGAACACAGTGGGAGTTCTGCCATGGATTGAGAGACAATGGCCTGTTCCTCATCACAAGCTAGAGAAAAGAACCTACATGTGCTGGAGCAGTGTTTGTTACACATTGTGCTGATTTTAGTGATGGCTTTTTCCATGCACCAAGCATGAGATCATGTACAGGGCTGTATTTACATGGTGATGTAATTTTGCAGCAGAAGCTGGAAAAATAAGGAGGGTATATCATGTCCAGTGTGATTTATGCCAAGCTTTCTGCAACTATGCAGCCATGTCAAACGTATGKTGGCAGGATGAAAATAAGATGTGGGAAAACCCTGCCCCAAACTYCTAGACAACTTTATGTTTTGACTGGAAAATCAACTGGTAACTCTAAAAGGAACTTTCATCAGGCAAACAATTTTTAAGTCAAACGGCATATGTACTTAATTGAATGCTTACAAAATCACCTTTTGTTTTATACAGATGTTCTGCCAACAAAAGGARAAAACAGAGATGCTGAATGGATTTAACCACATGGCTCTATTTATGTTGTGATCACACAAGATTGGGTACTCAAATACARTTATTTTCCAAATAACATAGTATGATAATGTTGTTTAGAAACTGTTACACCCACTTATCTTGCCATACCRGGCCATTGAGACATAAAAACTTGAAAAATAAATTTGTTGACCTCATTTACATACAGAATGCTATTAGACTTAAATAAATAAAACAGGATTGTTTGATTAACCAGTGAAATTATGCACACACGTTTTGGAAAATCTGATCAAGTTTAGTCTGTAGTTGGTTTCTAACCATGCAGGCAAAGATCTCTTTATGAATAACATTTAATATAAGGTCATAATTGTTCTTCTAGTTCATCCACATCCCTTTGGGATCTGACTAAAATATAACGGTGCAGCTCTGAACCTCTGCTGCTTTCATCAGAATTGTTTTAGGTTAGGAAGWTGGGTGAGTCACTAACTAGAAGCAAGAGCAAATGCAACTATAAACCATGTGTGCCTTTTATCTACAAATAAAGTGAACTGACAAAACAGCTTTAACAGAATTTTAAATGACAGTAAACTTGGATGTAACAACTGAAGTAGTGGCTGAAGATGCTTTAGAGGGACAACATACAGCTGTGACCAGTAGAAGAATGTTCCAGGACACCTCTTTTTCCTTCTTCTTGCATGTATCCTGGAGTACATGAAGTTCCTTAGTAATTTATATCATGGATAGGTCTTCAAATGATGCATCATTTTTGTTTTCTGGAAAACTGCCTTAGTCTCAAATAAGCCAGGAGCTGAATTTGGAGGAGCTAAAGTCTCACATATATTTATAGTGAGGCACTCACTAAGCAGTAAAGCATAATATTCTGCATTTAAAAGGCAAGATGTCCCAGCTGATTTGTAGCTTGCATTTTAAGACAGTCAAAGGGAAATGACACCTTCTGGAACAGCCTATTTTACAGGCAGTTTTACTCAGGGACTGGTGCTGGGAATATGTGTGTATCCCCATGTCTCATGTTTTTTCTTCAGGACTGTTATCTAACATAACAACCATACCAATAAGCTCTAGAACCAATGAATCACCAATAAAAAGTGCTTTATGTGACAGGGAAATGAACACAACTGTTTGACAACAGCCAAATATTATGAACTCATTGAATTCTCACATGAATGCATACAAATGCAGAACATGCCAAAGCCTGGGAATGAGCACAGGATGAAYCAGTGCTTCACAGTACGTTCTTCAGAGTGCTGTAGTACCTGTGTGCATCTTGCTCGGAGAAGCCTTATTTGTTTCCTCCATTTGTCAGCAGTTAACTCCCCTACAGCAGCACTGCATGAAACAAGGGTTCGTYAGCTGGCATTTTCTCAGAGAAAAAAGTAGGACTTGAACTTCACTTTGAGATGCTGCTAAACGTTAGTATAAACAACTGGAAAAAAAAGAGAAGTATTTTCTGTTCATAGCTTTTATTATAAACATACAGATTAAATATTAACATAGGAAAAMAGAGACTAGTTAGGCCTTTAGAAGGGTAGGTGTCCTAAAACAGCCCCAGAAGTCCATTTTACACAGTTTCCAGTGAGTCGGCAAACTCTGTAGAACCACTGCTGTGGTAATTGAAGTCTACAAAACACTGGAATATTCCCTGTCCTCTCTTTTAAACAGAACAGCATACTACATAAGGAAACAGTTATTTTGCACTTTTGTTTACTGCCACAATGAATAAAATGTTCAGCCACAATGAATAAAAAAAGATCCATGTATTCAAATAAAGATACTCCAAAAATATCAGTTCAGCCTACTTCCTTTTTTCATTTTACCCAGCAGGCCAGGCTCCTCCTGACTGCTGTAACTGGCTGGGAATTATCAGTGTCAGTCAAGATCCTCAGGGCCTACTGGGAGCTTTGCAGAGTGTCMGTAAGAGCTAGAACAGATGTTTGTTCTCCAAGTAACACGCAAAACCTTTTTCAGTTCTTTTATAATGGCTGGTCAAAAAGCAGAACATGTATGAGCCTGAGAATATCCTTCTGTTTTCAAAACACTGAATTTCAACAATAAAAATCTGGATGGTTGAAGTTTCAAAAGTTTCCATTATCAACTGATGAAAAACAATTCTAAAGAGATTGCATTTTTTTTCTTGACACTCAAAGACAAAAAAACTTGCAGTAAAGATGCTCCGAGCTGTATGCTTGAAGAGGATGTGCTTTCCTGTTCCAGTGTTTTCTCTGCTCCCCATGTTCCTTTGCCTTCCAGCAGTGAGTGCTCTCACTGCTACTCCAGTTCCTGTCCCATGGTGGAATCGGATTCAAGTTATAAAGAAAGGTAGATTTTTTTTCAGCATCTCTACAAACATACGTATTTGTACAGTCCAGATAGCCACGTAAATATGTAAGCAGTGAAGTTAATGGAATATATAGGTATTTTTTCAAGCAGGTACTTGAAACAGTGCGAAGAGGTCTGTGCTTTTAGATTTATACGTTATCAATTATATACTTGGTATTTTCTCCCCTTAAAAGTAACTGTGAATAAACACCTGAAAATATGGGAATGAATAGAAAAAATAATCTTAGGATTTTGTTGGAAAAATAGAATTTGCAATAAAAAATATGGTAATTTCTTCTTACTAGAAACAAGTAATAAAGATACACTCCCACATGCAATTTTTCAGCATCCAAGACATGTAACAAATATTTCTACAGTAGCAGCCCATCCTCTAAGCAAAGTCTGAGTCCCTTACAGTGCTACATTTTAATTAATTTCAAAAAGCATTTATGTCAGTAATCTTTGCTTACTCCTTTGTACACGTTAGCCTGTGTTTTGGCAATATAAGCAAATGCTAGAGCATTGTTGATTAAATAGGAAGTGGTTTACATATAAGTATTCTATATAAGAAAGTAATCTAAAAATACTGGCTCTGATCCTAGGCAAGGTCATTGCCTCTTTGTACTATTCCATTGATTCCCACTAGAATTTACCCAAACAGAGCAAGTCTGGAGGGCCCCTCTTGTGAAGATCACTAAGAGAAACTTTTATCTCTCCATCTCTCTGTTTTGAGTAAAGGATGGGAGCATGCTCAAGCTACAGGCATGTCAGAGTTCTGGACAACCCTTCATCCACAAYGGAGATTAGAAAAGCCTGTGGGTACTGCCTTATTGTGTACTTCCCTTTATGCCTTCTCCTACTGCCACAGTTTTCCCACTTGCTCAGGCACATGTTACTCTGATCAAATGGTGCCAACAACCCCAGAGGCTCAGAGGTACCCAGGATCAAACCACTGACCCATCCCATACCCTGGACTTCAGAATCTGCCAAAGACAAGGCTGCAGATGAGGACAATGTCAGCGACTAGAGAAACAGTTAATTCAAGCTGCTTCTATCCAAAATCGAATTTCTGTGCTTCTGTGAAGCCCAAAAGGGGCAAACATTTTTATGTCAAAGCAGATTTTGTGAAATCAAGTAAGTGCTTTTTCCAGTTCCTAAGTCTTCTTTTAAATAATATTTAGCCAGTATTTCTCTTGGTGAAACAGACTTTTCCCTATTTCCATGGAGGCATGATGCAGTGGAGAACTTCTGAAGAACTTGCATAGACAGTATTTTTCTTTTTATTGATACTATTTTAGACAGCATATGAATTCTTGTAGCAAAATCAGTTCCAAATTTCATCTCCAGTCTTCAAGATGGACCAATGCTGTACCATTTAACAACAACTTTTTCAGGATTTGCAATGGTATCTTTCCACTGCTCTGCTGCTTCACTGTTGCTGCTATCAGAACTTAACCAGATCTGTATTGAAAAGAAAAAAAAAATTGAGCTYATCTGTTTTAACAAAAGCTGAGCCTTTACTAGTTTCAAATAAATACCAAGGAAGCAAGATACAACATATAGACTATGACCAGAGCATAACAGCAACAAATCCAATTCTGCTAGTCCGAACATATTTTGGCTTTTAGCTGGTAATACAGGGAGTCTGTGTTTAAATTTAGCCTCTAATACAGTTTAGAGAACCCACTACAAAATAACGTTTCTGTATTTAATAAGATGTTTTAAGTGAAGCATTCCTTGCTGTATCCAAATGCACGTGCTGGGGTCAGGGGCTCACCGGGGCCAGTGGCGGCTCTGTGTTTGGACACAGTTGGCTCCAAGCCATCCTSCATCCGGCACGAGCTGTCCAGCATTTTCATGAGCATTTAAAATTGCACACTCCCACAGCCAGGGCCAAACCTGCATTCCACAGAGGTTACTAACATGCCCTTACCACACATAGTCACGTAGTAAGGGTCCGTTTCTTCTCAGTACTCAGTTAGTGGATAGTGGCCATTATATGAGGAAATGAAGTACAAGTAGGAAATTTTCCCCCTTAACATTATCACCAGCCTCTATTGCCAAGAGAATTCTGCTTATATAAGTAGGTAGAGTTATTTACAGGACTCTATTTCCTCAAGTCTTCCAAGAATGAGTCCTTTTAAGACTTCTCAGAAACCTTGACCATGAAGTACATTTAGCCTATACTTCTGGGGCATGAGTACTCAAGAAGTGAGAATAATGTCTTCCAGAATACCACAGACAGCTGATGTTTCATCCACAGAGATTCAATGTACATCTTGCTCATGATTAAAGACATGCCTGTAAAAGCAGYCTAATCTAAGTATTGTCTGCTTAGAACAGCATCCAATTAAACATCATTCTCTGAAGAACAGAGTTAATAGATCCAGCTATACTCATTTTTTTTCCAGCTACCCAGCCAACTGCTCAAAGTACATTTTTCCCTGAGCCATATTTTATGTCTTCATGTGTTATGTGGCAATGTCTGCCTTCATGAGCTAAAATAACCTTTTCCAAATAATCTCTGAGGAGCACAAGTAGCTCATTTCCTCCCATTAAAAATAAGATCCATGATTAAATGTAACTCATCAGATTGAGATTATTTCACATATTGCTAGGTGACTGAAAAATCGTAACTCATCAGGTTAAGATGACTTCACATATTGCTAGGTGACTGCAAAATCATGCCCAGTTATTTTTCCCCCAAGGTAGCACAACTAAAAAGAACAATTTTTGTTTTCCTATTTCAAATTTAATCCCACCAACAGGAAGACAGTACATGTGCAACACGAGGCCACAAAAAATGGAGGAACTTAATGTAACTCTTGCTGGCACATCATTTCTATAGCTTATAGCACATGAGCATCTCCTATTTTTTGTACTTCAGGACAGTACAGTCAGAGACATGGATGTTACATACATGTCTATATTATGTTATATATATATAATAGTACATACATGTATTAAAATATATGTAAGATATTATAGTGTGTATATATATATATATATATATATATATATAAATTTGGTTACTGCATCTAAGTGTGTCAGGAAAAGCACAAAGCATATGGAACAGGTACGGCTCACTATACCAAGAAGAGGAGAGACAGAAAGGACAGGATGATGGTAAATTAGAAGAAGCAGGGGAAGAGGACAGAGAGAGTAACAAGACCTGACTACTAAGTTTTATGGTGGTTAMATAAATGTGATCACACAAATGCTTTCAAAGAGATACTACTGAAGTTGTGCTTGTTAAAACAACAACAACAAMAAAAAGCTAAAAATATATTGTGTTTGGACACCTATACTATTACTGGATCATACATAGTTAGACTCTTGTACTGATTTCAGCATTGTTATACCCAGGAAGGCAGTTTCATTGTAGCTGTTGATATTTCCTTTTACACACATCTATCTGTGAGTGTATTGTTATGATAAGCCAACATCCCCCTTCCTGGACAGGACGTTGTAGTTTATGAAGCTTCTGTGGGTACTGTTTGTTTTCTTTAGAAAGCTAAAGGCAAAGAGGAGACCCTATGTCTCTTGGAAGTAATCTGTCACATAGTAATATTCCACACAAAACTGACTTCAGGATTTCTTTTTGAAAGAAAAATCATATATCAACTCCCATTCCAATGTTGGTGCAAGTTTAAGAGCCTGGTACCATTCTTGCTTGGATTACACCCAGAAGAGTTTAGTAGAATTTACTATTTTGCTCTATGCCACCTCATTTGAAGTATTTTAAAATTCATACCAAGAAACCTGTGGAACTGGATTTTGAATAAAGAAAATTTACTTTATATTTAGCAGAAACCAACCTGTCCTAGGAAGTGTTTTCTTCTCACTGAGCTTCTGCTGTAGAGTTTGATGAGAAAGCTAATTCCTTGTTCTGCTTGGCTAACTGGAAAAACCATCATTTCTCCCCACTTCACTCGGCCATTTGTGGACTTCAGAAGGCGAGTCTTCTTCTTATAGATCATCCCTTCTGTACTAAACATGCCGACTTTCACAAAGAAATCTAGCACAAAAGGGAAGGAACAAGGCATACCACATAAAGGGTTACTCACAACACACCCAGAAAGGAACCAACAAGGTCCATATGTATGGTTCAAATTGCGACAATTTCTCAAAAGTCTGGCCAAAAGAACTGTACAATAGCTTTCCTGTCACACAAACAGAGTGTGTTCAGTAATATTGAACTGATTAACACAGGATCCAAACAGCAAGTGCAAGCTAATGCGCTTGTATGTCAGGATTAATACTGGGATAAAATCTTCCAAAATACATAAACACATCTCTTCAAACCAAACAAAATGTAATCAAGTAAGACATCTGGGGAAATAAATCTTGGCAATGGAAATCTACCACACAATATGTTAGTCTGAGGTTCGTAAGGAATGCTATGAATTGCCAACCCATTTGAGCAGTAATTTACCTGTTACAAATGCTTTTAGACAGGAGGCATGAAACAGCTGATGTAACTTACTTGAAGAGAGTGGCGTAGATGAAACAGGAAGGTTTTGCGCTTCAAGAATCTGTAACTGTATCCTCCTGTTTATTGCTTGAAAACAAGTTCCTATTTGAAGTTCAGCACGGCACACCTACAAGCAGAAGAATGTTGCCATAACATCTGGATTAAGTTGCTTATAAACTCAGGAAACACAGGAATTTTGTCATATGTTGGGCTCCCACATTTCTATCTGGGATTTCCTGGACAGAAATATAAGCAYGTGTTGTATACAGAACCTGCAGATGCACAGTAAGTGCATCCTGCACTTGTCAGAGCTGCAGTACATGTGCTCCACCGATGAGCAGCTTATGTGTGGTGCACATATGGCCCTCATGGGCAGCAGCCGGGGATACTGGGCAAATAAATTAGTCCTCAGTTTTCACCTGGTACAGATTCTGCAGTGGTGACRGCAGACACATACAGGGGAAACCAACGTGCCACTGCAACTTTACTAATCTGAGTGTGGAAGTGAGAGACCAGGTATGCTCCACTCACACAAAAACCTTTGGAGTTCCTCTCCCACACTTTTGAATTTTGAAATATGGAGATATAAGCAATGTTTTCCATAAATAAAAGGCCCTGTCACTTAACGTCACAAATGGTTAGGGTGACTGCATGCTGTGTAGTTTCCTGTGTTATCAAAGTACTCGTGTATTACATAGCTACACACATATACCCCTGCCACACACACACAGTGAAAGCATCAAGATCTCCAGTCTGGTTCTTGGGGTGTTTTTCTAGAATTTTTGCTACTGGCACAGTTGCACTGAGTCATCCTCATTGCTCCTCTGTTAGACTCCAACATCTCAGAACATTGTAAGAGCAGCAGGATATGGCCAATGGAGACCCACCTTTCCCAACAGCCTTCGTTTAAATGGACTCTGATAGTCTTCATTGCCTCCAAGTTTTAATGCACCTCAAGGAACCAAAATGCATCAAGCAAGAGAGCACCAGGTCAGATAAAGAAAAGTCAGGCTCCAGTTCATCATAGAAACCCAAATTCTCTTTGTAGCTCATCCACAAAATGTTTGTGTAACCCTGACAGGAAGCCACTTAGTTGACTCTGAGCTTTGTCTTTCTATAGGCAGGGAGGGTAGAGTTTGCTGCCTCACAGGATAGTACAGGATGAATTCCAGAGTGTCTGGAGGGTTCTTGGATATAATAGTGAGGAAAGACAACAGACTGAGAAACTATGAGATGATTCAGAAATTTACATTGAGATGAAATGCTTTCTAAAACAGCTTCCTCTGTCACTTTATCTTACTGTTTTTGAAGTGATATGGTTATTCACATTAGAACTAAAAAAATCTCAAGTGTAACTTCTGTTAGAAATCAAAAGTATCATTGATATTACTTAGACACAAATAAAATTTGCTTTCGAATTGTTAATTCAAGTTTAATTTGTTGAAAATTCAAATGTCTAGACACAATCTATAAAAGAAACAAACAAAGTGAGGGTAGGGGGAAAGGAAATCCCACTGCGAAAACCACCTGCTTCTTATTACACTAATGGAAATGAACTGTCTGAATTATTACTTCACAGCATGCAATCTGAACATTAAATATATAGCTGTCTCTGCAGTTTCACGCCACTGAAGATTTCAGCACTTTTCTTCCATAACAAAAGCAGATTCCATTTGCTCTGAGCTCTTGCTGTGAGTCCTAAGGATCTTCAGATRCTTTTTTGGTTGGAAAAGACAATTACCAGTGTTCTCTGCTGAACATTTCCCAAGAATGCCCCTCCCTCAAGCAGTGAGCTATGATGTGGAAGAGCTTGGTCTAGCTCTTTTCCTAGAAACATCTGCAGTTTATGACCAGAACAGCTATGTGCAGAGTTCAAAAGTCTGCATTTTTTCTCCACCAAAATGCCTTTCTCCAAGGAAATAGAGAAAAGGGGAAAAAAAACAAACCCAAACCAAACCAACCCTTCTAGTTTTTACTACTGAATTATTTTAGTTTTATTTCCAGTAACTCTTTCTAGGTGAGATAACAACATACTTTCACAGCACTGGCACTTACAGGTGCTTTGGAAGGAGGAGATATATCCAGCCAATGACTTGATTCCTGTGAGCTCAGCTCCCGCAGTGCCAAGGAACATTCTCCAATAGTTTTTTTCCTGGGAGTCTGTGTCTGGATTTTAAATACCAATCTGACAGCCTGCAGGCTTTGCAGTTTAATAGCAAAAACAAATGTTTCCATAAACTCAATGTCCTAGAAAGAAAAACAGAGGAGTAACATCACCGTTTTAAGAGGTTCCCACTGAGCCCAAAACCTAGAAACCAGAGTATCCTGTCACTATTTTWGGTTGCCATGGAAAAGTGTGCTTTTATAGTGCAAAGTCCACCCAGACTTACCCTTGACAGGGGCAAAGTTCTGGATTATTTTTCACTATCATAATGAGTTGTGGCTATCTCTTCTGGAGCTTTACAACAGCACACACACATTGTCATATTCTGTAGCCTTTTGCTACAGTCTCTCCAGCTAATTTTATTTTCTTTCATCTTTGGCTCACATCATGGGAGATTAATGTTGCTTTACCTCTCATCCCCTTAATATTAATTTACTGCCACTATCAGGAATCTTGTCACATGCGACCAATTTTTACCATTTTCTAGACAAAGTGAGAATATTGTTTCCTGCTGGATGAAAGGCAACATATCAGCTGTCTTCCCTGGGATGAGTGTGCACCTACAGGGATGCCAGGTCCTCCTTCAGGCCCCCACCATGGAGGTGCCAAGGCCAGCAGCTCAAGCTTCAGTTCCCTATGAGCATATCTGTCTTGCCAGCTGGTGGCAAGAGAGGATATAGGGGAAAAGTGTTTCTCAAGTGTTTTTCATGTCTCTACTTACACTGCAGCCCTCCTTGGCAGAAGATTTGAAATGCACTGGTTTGGGCAGTGTGAGAATTCCCTTGACACAGATCCGAGGATTTTCCCCACAGCTAGAAGGCCAGCTCAGGTCTTTGCACTGCAATGTTGAAAACAATCAGTTTAGACAATGCAAGACTTTTACYGTTTGATGCTGTTACGAGGTTTCTGTCTACTCAAAGTTCCACAGACTAAAAATCAGTCACAATTCCTGGAAGAATCCAAAACAACCAGCATCACAAGATCATGTTTGCTGATAAAAAAAGCCACAAGAAGCTGTCTTCAAAGTATTATTAGGGTTCTGCCCTGCAGGAACTATTGGATTTAAAGTCATAGAATCACAGGAGTCACTTAAATACTGCCTCCATAGTTGCTCCCCTTTACTGCCTTCAGATTTCCATTTTCCTTCAGAAAATGTCCAACAGGACCAGCCTATGACCAGCTCTTCCTTCTAATCTGACCAGCTCTTCCTTCTAATCTATACTGAACAGTTCCTCACTTCACAATCAGAATATATGTTAACATATGTATAGTAACATAGGGAGAGAGATACTACTTCTTGACTGCAGCAGAACAGAGATTGCAACAGAAAAACAATTAAAGGAGAAGAAGATGCTTTGAAGCCTGGTATTACACTTGACTGAACTTTGTTTTTATCAACACTTACAATTTTTTTTTCCTAAAAGCATTAAAGTAAAGGAGAGARACATTTTATGATAATTACCACTAAGTATAGTAAAATAGTAATTTGAATAAATAACCAACTGATTTATATTTGCTTACATGTAAAACTGTGATCCAAATTTGTTCTACAGAAGGAACATAGCACAACTTCACATTCAGTCTTCCRAAGTCTCGTTCATCACCTGATAACGTAATAGTATCTACGGAAGAAAGCCAATTAATAGTTTTAGGAGTAATGCAGTATCTTAAAAGTTCAAGAAATAAAGGAACTCATTGTTAGGTGGACTGCTTAACTTTGCAAACTTCTCTCAAAATAAGTTTGAAATATTTTAACAMCTACATTTTAAGAACAAAATATCCACCAAGTTCAGCAGCCTGACCTTCTGCATAGCTAAAAGCTTTCACATTTCAGAGAAGAGAATCATGTAATCACAGAATATCCTGAGCTGGAAGGGACCCTTAACGATCAAAGAAGTYCAACTTCTGGCCCTGCACAGGGGACCACACCAAGAATCACACCATGTACCTGGGTTATATATACTGAATTTACTAGCTTGTGTTATAATCAAACAACTTTTAGAAAGAAAAAAACCATATTTCTGAGACACCCAGAACACATTTATATCCTATCACTTCCCTTAATCGTTTTCACTGTTAGKTTTTAAATTGGCCTCTTCTTTATCTTTCTCAGATTTCAATTCCAGTCTTGTAAACATTTTACTATTATGCTGTCTCCAAATCAGAAGAGACATTAAATATCCAGCATTTATCTGTTATGACTGGAACTAGGTCATTGCCCCAGTCTTCTCTTTTGAGGAGACTGGGCGAAACTCTGACTTCTAGCAGGGTGACTTYTGTGGGGACGTGATGAATTTGTGACGGTTTATTTTGCAGTATCTCTACTTCTTCAACATTCTTTCATAAATTGGGATACTGGGTTTGCATGCTATATTCTTGTCTAATTACCAGTATAATATGGGTATTTGATTTCAGGCACTTCACACAGAAAAATCCTGATATGTGAGAAAGGCCTAGACCTGTGACCTAGTGATGCATTCTATCCTAACAGAGCATCTGTAATTTCTTAGTTCACTTGGGTAGAAAATCCAGGTATGAATTTCTCAAAAGCAAGAGAACTTCTCAAAGTCTCATTTTCTCCATCTCACACAACAGGACCGTGCAAGTCCAAAACACTTAATTTCAAATTGCCAAGTAATCTCCAGCTGACCTGCTAGTCAGATTCCCCTCAAAAAAAAAACAAACCCAAACCAAAAACAAACAAACGAACAAACAAACAAAAAACAAAACAAAAAACCCACCCCAACAAAACCATCAACAATAGAGTAGAAACAACTTAATGTTTCATGTATAAAGGGAAATACTTCATTACAAGGTAAACAGATGGAACATTACCCAGACTCCTGTTACTGCCTTGTGAATCTTTTCTGGAAGAGCTACTGCTAGGTACACTGGAGACTGAATCGTATCTCTGGGGACAGGAAAAAAAAGAATCACTTAATTTAGAGCAACAGATGCAACACCCAGACATTATACCATCAGACAAGATATGATGAAAACAAAACACTCAATTTCAAGTAATTGCCTTGTTCCCAACTAGTTTCTTGATCCAGCAGCATGCAATTACTATTTTGATGCAATGAACTAATAGAGGATTCATTTGACCAGCATAGATTTTTTTTCATGGATATATATACACAACTTCACTGCTACGTAAGACATGATTATTAAAGAAGAAATAAATGCAGTGTTTTGTGTCAATGGAAACTTCCAGTGTTCCACTTTTCAGCTGATGGAGAAACCTGAAGAGGAGGAACCACAACATGCTGTCTGTCCTGTCCTGCCTAACAGCCTGCTTGGGTTCCTTAACAGCCTTTCTGGGCCAGAACAGCAAATATCAGAGGAGACAACAGGAAAAAGCCTCTTCAAGTTGGTCAAGATGTTGAACTTTTCCCTCTAGTCCTCCCAGTGCACAGCACAATGCCCTCCCGTAYTTACTTTGGAAACACAAAGCAGCAGGACCAGTCATGCTGAGTAAACTGAGTTTTCAGTATAACCCCAATTACCCGGGGAACTCACCCTCATGAATCGGTGAGGTGGGCTCCTGAGATCAAACATAGAACGACTCACATCAAGTGATCCAGGCAGAGCACTGGATCTTAAATCACTAACTAATAAGACAAAGAGAAAAACAGAAAACAATTTAACATCCTTACTAGAAAAAAACCCTAAGAATAACTTTCACAAACTACTGGAAAATATCTGCTCAAGCCTGCAAGTTACAAATGACCAAAATGGTTTAAAAACAATATAATCTGCTGTTTCTAGTAACATTTTCCAGGAATATGGGGGTGGGGCAGGGGTGAAGAGATGGTATCTTTAAAAAAAAAATTAAACTTTTAATGGAAAAAATGTTAATTTTTATACAGAAAGTTGTCCGTAAAATGTCAAAAAGCAGAAAGGTTCTAACCATAAAAATATGTTGTTTAACAATAGTAAGTATAATTTCAGAAAAACATTAATGAATTTATTTTTCTGTTTGTTTGTGCAGAGGTTTTTTTTTTTAAGGTGAAGAGAAGGGGCTTCACATTAAAATTCAAGATTTTGTACCTTCCAAATAAACACATTCTGTAGTTCCAAACCCACACACATGAAAAATATCATGGCACTCATTGCAACAAACTAGGCTTGCTTCATGTGTATCTAGGCTATAGATGCACATGAAGTTCTAAGTTCTGAAACAGCTGTCAAAAAGCTCTGGAGTGTAAAGGCATTTTAGAACTGTACTCTAGACACACTAGAATAACCCTTCTTGTGTTTAAACTTACTAAGACAAAACTAGTAAAGTGTTTACTTAGCTTGAAGAAAAATTGAAAAAGAGATGATGAGCTGAAGGGATGATGTTCAAGACAGTTTAATAAAACCCATTTGGCTCCCATCACAGGTGCTTACAGAGCCTAGTAAAACCATATGTGTTAAGAGGCTGCTAGAATTCTACATGTGTTTTGTTCTCTTTAAAAAAAAATATATGGAACAGTCTTTTCATGTAGTCTCTATGGTGATTCAGAATTATTTTAAAACAAGACACAGACTGAGACTTTTTCCCCCAGCTGAAAATAAGCATGCTATACCATTCTAAATAAAACATCTTTAAAAATGTGTGCTGTTGCCAGCTTCCTATTTCATGGAGAGTGTGTACATTTCTTGAATTTGAGTTTTGTGCATGCATTTGCCTTAGCAATCACAAGCAACGATTTGTCTTCTACTTCAGTCTAAACAGAATTCATTATTGGACACATACACCAACAAACAGCCCAGAAGACAGTTTTTACTTAGGTAGCCAAACACTTTCTATCTAAACTTTTACTATCTGACAGCCCTCCCTCATTCTTACACACACTGAGAAATGGAGACATTGCTGCAGCTCCAAAAGGGAAGTACAAAAAARCTGGCATATAGCATCATGCCTCATTTTGCACCTGTTCGGATCATCTGCTCCTGAATGGTTTTTGGTRCTCGTTCCTCTCCCCATGTCTGTACTCCTCAGGCACTCCTCCTACTCAGCATACTGTMTGGCTTCCTTTTTCCATCTCCCTCACTCCTCTTACTGGTAGCTGAAATTTCCAGTCCTGCATTCTGGTTTGGATTAGAGGCAGCAACGGGATACCTCTTTTCCAATTTCTCTACCTTTGTGTGATGCATGTAAGCCTTGTTAAGCCCCCAAAAGATATAAAGTAACAGCRTAGCTGAAAATTAAACAGAGCTGGCTCTACAGATCGAGTCACCAACCAGGAAGTGTCTGTAGTATATAGACCAACTTGAGAWCCGCTATAACCAAACAGGTCTTCTACAGACAAATGGCTTTTACTTCTCTTACCTATAAACCCTGAAAAAGGGAGGAAGACAGAGAAGCAGGGGTTGGTCCTTCTCACCTGACCCGTATAATTTCCTGCTATCTGATTTAGCCTGGAAGCGCCTGACGAGATCTGGCGAAACGCGATGCTCCAGATAGAAGGGGTTGTACACRTCATAGCGGGGCCACTGGAACACGCTGTGCAGTTCTGCCTTCCGGTCACCAAACGAGGCTCTGGCTGACTCTGTGGAGCACAAGTAAACATCAAATGCAAGAGTTCCAGACATAACACATGCTGCCTGGCTTCATACGGCAGGCAGAGTGCCTTCAGGGCAAAGGACAAAATATTTCAATATTATCTACTTTGGGTAAAGGGGAAAAAAAAAAGAAAAAGAAAACACACATTCACATTATGTAAGGTTTCCACAGTGTGTGAGCAAACAGTAGAATTAAATTGGCCGTAAAAAGCTATGCATACTCTGTCTTGGGGTTTCACAGTAAATGCCTAAGTAGTTAAAATACAGAAGGCTCCAAAGACAGACAAGACACAAGCTAAGAGGAAAAGTAGAGGCATGTGTACAGAAAACCTCCAATTTATTTGGTTACCTACCCTMGGCATATTCTTACTGAACTAACGGAGCCCCAGACCTTCAGGAAGGTCTTGGATGGAAAGATAATGCAGCTTGTGACTGCAGTTCTCCTTATCTACTTTACACAGGAAGTCTGTCCACAGTAAAATCACTGGTCCAAAATTACTTGAATTGTTGGCTGATTCACAAGTAGACATATTTGGGAATGCTTGGATCCCAGCCCTTTACTCAGCCCATAATAATTTCAGAAAGAACATGTAYGTCTTGGTCAGCAAAACAGCGAAGAACACTGCTGTAGTGCTCTTTACTGTCTGGAGTGAAAGGAAGCGATAGGTAACAGCACATTAGAGAACGCAGTGACCTGGATTCTGCCAAACTCCAGTATTTGCTTCCTTCACTTCACCTCCCTAGACTTCAACCTATCCCTTAAGGTCTTCACCCTGCAATGAAGTGCCTTCAGTTCTGCAACTGTATTGCACCRTAAGAGGCAAACTATGACATCTCAAGAGTCCTCTCCTGCATGTGTTCATGAAGTAAAAAACTGAAACGCTGAGATGGAGCATGAGTGGTAAAGCAAGAACTCAAGCACAACAGGCTTGAGCATGACGTAAATCAGGATGAATGCTAGAAGTGAAGCCACAAAGAATTGCGACACAGCAGATGATGGAAAATCCAGTGCTCCAGAGCAGGAGCACACTTCTTCCTGCTAGCTTACTTCTGCAAGATCATGAGACACACTGCAGTGAGCACTGAAGAGAAAGGCTGCCAGAACTTAACTGCTCTCAGAAGGCTTGCCAAGAGCTAACACTGAGCATGTCCTGTTTCACTAAAGGAAAATGGCCAGACATGCACAGAAAATGGAGTGGAACTGAGAGCAGAACTTGGACTTCTGCAGATATTTAACAATGGTCTAAGAAAAAAGTACTCTAAATACATTTTTTTGAGTAGGCTGGTGCTTTGGCTAATGTGAAGGAAGAACGACAGCACAGTTCACCGTATTTAGGAAATCTCTCTAAAAAGTAAACACTGCTTTTTTAAACACAACTTCAATGAGGGTTAGAAAGCTGTACTTAAAACAATTAATATTTGGAAGGAGAAATTAAAGTTGCCTACTTGACCTAAGAGCCACTTTTCAAATATTCATTCAAGAATCTAAAATATTTGCTCAAGAAAGACAATTCTGAAGTGTCAGGTCATCCTGCCAGAAGGTCTACTAGCACATAGTCTAAGGACCACTCTGTACACCAAGTCCCTCAAAAATGATCGGGAAGCAGAATTCTCAATGTAGACAAGGCACTGAGTGTTAAGATTGTGTAKAACAGCATGAACAAAGGAAACAGTTACCTAAACGCTGTTAGACGCATCTTCCTTCTCTCTGGAGAACACTCCTGCCTCAGAGTCCTTGATGACCTTCYCTGTATACTATGTTGAGCATGAGATAGGACAAAGCATGGCAGAGCCTAAACCCAGACCTAGTAGGAATCGGGATTACCAGGAGCATGTCCTGCTTTTCCATAGCATATCCAACTATGGACTTGCAAGAGCTAACACTGAAATAGGAGGCAAGTGGGGAGATCAGGCTCAGAGAGGAGGAGGGACCTCACATGTTCTACCTCCAGCTCTTCAGTTGCCTGTTAATGGCTGGTGAGACCTCACAAATACAATCCACTGCAAGATGGGGCCAATCTGCACTGAATAGCTCTGCCAGGCTGCTTAGCTYGGCTGTGGTGCCAGTGGCACATACAGCAGTGGGTGGGGAGCAAGTTTGGTAACAGGCCTTCAGGAGCAGGAAAGAAGCAACAGCAGGGACCTAGGGAGAAGAGGGAAGGGTGGGAATAAAACCACACAAACACAAAAAAGTCACATAGTACTGCGTTAGTTATTACAYAACATACGGTTGACTTCTTTCAGTTATTAAGGTTTTCACCTTCAAAAAAGAAATACAGTCACATGGGACTAAGAACATACTACCAGCTTATCATGTCCTTGAGGCAAAGCAGTCCTAGAGAAAACAACTGTGCAGGTATGTTCCTGTGCCAAAATTTTCCCTTACCTAATTCTGTGCATCTCCTGGCAAGACTAAGAGCCTAACAATCACATATGTTCTGTAACTCATATTAGTGGGACAGGATCCTGTCCTTTTAAAATGCCACTGTGTCTAAACTGCACGAACCTAATTTCGGCAGTTTTGAGTATGGGACTAGTAGAGGTTGAAACACAAGACTGCTGTGAAGCAAGGAATCAATAGTATCATGTGAAACCTCATAACAGGAGATCTGTGGCCCCTGGCCCCCCAAAAAGCAGCAAAAAAGCAGGAAATAGTAGGGACAAAAAAATCTGCCAAGTAGTAGCACATGCCATCTACTGCCAAAATTTGAAAAGGAAGATGTGTTAGTATGTTAAAACATATCACAATATTAACCATGAAAGCTGTAACATCCTCCACCTTTTACTTGAGAGATCTGGATGCTGGGGATGTGTTAGGTCTTTCCTTGTCTCCAATAAATCCTTTTTAAGATTCTGTTTCCTTTAAGTGTCTTCCATTACTCTTGAGTATAAGCACTGGTGTGCAATTCTCCCATTCAGTTTTATTCATGCAATRTCACAGAGATTTTCCCAAAACCTCTCTGGGTGTCCAGAGAGAAAAGAAACAAACTCCCCAGGCTCCCCAAGGAAGTGGTCACAGCAGCAGCCAGAGCTCAAAATATGTTTGGACAATGCTCTCAGGCACATGGTGTGACCTGTGGGGTGYCCTGTGCAGGGCCAGGAGTTGGACTCRATGATCCCTGTGGGTCCCTTCCAACTCAGCTTATTCTATGAATCTTTGAAATAAGACCAGGCTTCTAGAAAAGTCCTGCAACCATATGTTTCCAGCAGGAATACTTGACAACTTTCAAGGAGTAGCAGAAGCTAAACAACTATTTGGGCAAYATTGTTTGTATTTTACCTTTAATCCCTCCAGCGTGTGAGATACTGGGGAGGTTCTTTGGCTGCACATAAGCCAGTTTGAATGGAGGGACCACAAACGGTACCTCCTGACCATCCAGGGGCAGTTTAGAGAGCAAATAATCCTCAGAACAGCCAACTTGACGCTTCACTGACACAGAAGACAATGGAGGCTTCTCTACAATAGTTGGCTTGCTTGCAGCTCCTGCTTCAGATTCCTGCACCATGGAAACTGCTAAAAATAAAGAGCAAGAAAAACAGACAGTACACATGTGCATTAATTTTTGAACAATACTATGAACAGATCTCTTTTATTTAATAGTATCTCTGCTTGATACATTACTTAACAGCTGCTARTATTTGATTTACAGCATTTAGGACTAGCACCAGGAAAAGAAATTAATCCTCCTGACACCTCTACTGATCCAAACTCTTTGTTACTGGAGATTCTATATTTATAGCTAACTTCCTCTTCAGTGAATTTTCACAAGAATTACACTTGTATCAYAGAAGAGTTCTTCAAACAAATAAGACACCAAAGAAAATCCTAACAGAGTTAAAAATWTCCAGATTCAAAAAAAAGAAGCATTCAAATTCTGAGAGTTTGAAAGATRTAAGACCTTTTCACAACCTTGGGTAAAAAAGCCAGCTTTTTTGGACAGTATTCTAGACTGCGAAGAGCAGACTTCACACAAGTGTTATTTCTCAGTTCCAATTCRTAACACTGACAAGCATGTGTTCAATTTCCAAGTGGGGGTATGGAAAGAATTTTGGATRTTGTAAGAGAAATTAAGTTTATCAGGGCACAGTCATTTTATTAATGGGAAATCTCATCACTAATGAAACAGCAAAACTTTTATTAAACCCTCATTATGTCAGAACTCACGATCATTATTTTCCTTGTCCATGCAGAAACACCATTTACAGCAGGTTTTTATACATTCTGTTGCCATTGTTTTCAGTGTTACAATTTAAAGGGGGCCTCAATCAGTGATCCAGTGCAGCTATCAAACCTGAAAAACACAATAAAACAAACTGTAGTAGATGGGAATAACKTAAATCAGAATGCAATATTATCAACTATTTAATATGCAATTGCTTTTTGGACCCAGTCCCAGAATCTCTGGGTCCCAGAGAAAGTTACTTTAGTCATGAAAGGATCAGAGCCATCAGATTTATCTCATTGGGAAAAATCAATTTTATATAAAAGCACAAGGAAAGAGATAATTTTAACATATGGCATTCAAATACTTTCGGTGATCCAYTCAGACAGGTCCCTGTCTTTAAGAAACACTAAAATTCTGCTCATATTTGTGTGTGCCACTGGGCTTTGGAGTTTACTCAGCTTTACAGCTGTTTTGATGTGATATTGTSAAGTCATTTGCAAGATGTGTTTTTAATTCTGTTTCCCTTGTTCATGTTCCTCCTATCCTCTTTCACTCCCCTACTACTTTCACATACATCTATATGTGTTTACATTTTTTACTCGACATACTCCATACTTTTAACTTGAAAACAGGCCTTATAAATGATGCCAAAATTGCCTTCTTTCAGAAACTACTGCTTTCATAATTGTATACACATGAAACTGAAGACCTGGTTTATTATATAATTGTTTGCCGTGCACACAGAAATACAGCATGCTGACTTTTAGCAAAGTAAGAGGCATGTAATCTACAAAAGAATGAGAACAAGTCTCTAACAGATGGTTAACATTATAAGAACTTTATGACAATACTAACTGGCCTCATTTAAATGTCTTTATTCATATCCTTATGTTCTCTTTTCAGAGGGACACAGACAGCTGCATTGCCTCCTGTCCAAAACTCTAGCTGTCTAAGTGTAGTCCTTTTATATCCACCTAAAGTACACGAGGTTCTTCGTAGAACAAACCCAAGACACCATACTAACTCCAAGAAGGTTCAAAGACATCAAAAAGAATGTGAACATAAGCTGAAGGGATGAGGAAGACAACAAGGAAGATAGTGGGGGAAAGCACAGAGAAAATATGTAATTTTACCAAAAAATGAAAAATACATGTGTTTGGTTAGCTATTTCAATTGCAAAAAATTTCTGAAATCAACTGTGCTCCAATACAGAAACCATTTCCACCTGCAGCTCGAACAGTGCTGTAATTTTCTTTGTATATTCAAAGACAGCTAGAGAACCACACAAATTCCCTGGAAATAACCATAATATCCCCCAACTTTTTCTTTCATTAAAAGCCCCTCCAAATTTCATAGATATCAAATAGAGGTACTAAGCTATGGACACTTCATCAGACACCATTTCTCTGCACAGAATCCCTCTCAGTACTTGCCTTGATCTTAAAATTGCCCATGAGTGTAAGTACAGCATGAGGTCTGCATCAAAAGCCTTCAGAGACAATTCCACCAGCTCCAGAACCTGCTCTGCATCTTTACAGAAGCACAAAAGGAGCCATGGGAATTTCTTATTAAATTCTCCATGGTTCTAAGGATCAGATTTTCACTGCTGCTCCTCCCTTGGAGGCACACTCATGATAGCCAAGGCTGCTAATTTACTTAGGGTTCCCTTGCAGTGATTTTCCTTCCCAGCTGTTATCAGTACACAGCTGGAGTTAATATGCTTCACTCTTGTTCACCATGTTTAAACTGGACTGAAACAGCTGCTCCGTTTGCTCTAAGCTTTGCAACAATGGTATCTAAGCCTCGGTGGCAGTTTGCACAGGCAAAACAGACTTTTATCTCAAAATGTCCAGATTGAATTTATTCACTACTGCTSGTGAAGAAACCAGAATGTTAGTACTGCCCTACTTTCTAGCTATATAAAGTGGAAAAATTCGTTTTTCTGCATCAGAGAAAATTCAGTTTATGGTAGTGAATTGTTTAGCTGGAACCATGAATACGAGCAAATAAACAAATGGAAATCATCTGTCACAAGCCTTTCCTTCACAGGGGTGAGAGCCTGACCTAGAAAGAAAGGGCTTCGTATGGGTATTGCTCATATCTAACAGCAATAATGCAGTTCTACACCTTCTGTTCTTCTATCATTAAAAGGACCATGTTTTTCACAGTAACACCAAGTCAGCTGTGATAGTCTTTAAGCATTAGTTTTTTTTCCCATTCATCAATATGCAAATGTTCATACATTTTTCTTCTATCTGAAGGCAAATAGAAAGCAGTCAATCACTGCCTATTGTAGAGTACAGATTACAGATTGGTCTTTAGCAATAGGTAAGGTAATATCCACCTTACCTATTGCTAGTWTAGTGGTGAATGCCAAAGCATACAGACATACATATCTTAGAGCCTCCATTTCAGTTTTAGCTTAATTATAGGAGTTGGAGAAGAAAGTTCCATGAGTAAGAGACTAGAACATTGWTTTCACTTTCTTTAAGCTTAAAATGTAATGGTTTCAGTGACAAAACTTGCACTAGGGTCCCTAAACTTATACCACAGCCACATTACAATAAAAAAAAGACAGCATTTGCTGAGGGACAGGCCATCTAGATACACTGCTCCCTCATTCTCCTTAGAGCACTTTGCTTTGTTCATGGAATCACAACATGGATGGTCTCAATTACTTTTAAAAGTTATAATTCACCTAATTAAGCTACAGTGATAAATATTGTTGGTTTTTTGGTTTGAGCAATCCTGGCAGTAAATTAGATGGCTTGGCTCTYAGTTAATATGTTTTCTTTTATCTGTATTTTTCAAGCTGCCTACAGTTATTTAAACAACTTTCACTGCATGCAGAAGTTTTCCCTTAACCATGTGGGAGCGAAAGAAATTTAGCAGGTTCTGTTGTATATTTTATTAACTGAAAATGAACAAAAACATTGTAAAAGACTAAGGAWGTATTTAATGATCTTGACAGAAGTTGACATTTCTATCAAAGGTTAAACTTATCCCACATGCCAGGGCCTTTGCTGGTGTTGCTACCCAAAAATCCTCAGCAYATAATTTAACAGTTGTTAAAAGTTTGTACTAACATGAATTTATCTRGGAATACATTTATGAAACCAACCAGAACCATAGAGACATTCGCTAGGYGCACCACCAAATCCCAAAGAAGTATTGACTTCCCAGCAATGCCATCCATCTTAAGAAGTTATGACTCCTTGACACTATTGCTACTTTTTGGGATGAGTTTTTGTTAGGCAATATGCACATAAGAAGGACATCCTCCATTTCTGAGATTCTAGATTGAGAAGAGGATGGGGGAGAAGAGAGTTATTTCATTTTCAGACAAAAAACAGAGATAGAGAAATCAGTTTGCAGCAGAGGGAACTGAAGCCAGACCTTGTCACTCTTGTGTAAATTCTCCTTCTCAGTGTTTTACACCAAATTCAGTAAGCCACCTCATTTCTCTCTTCCCAGTATCAAGCCAAAGCAAGATAAGCAAATGTAACTCAGCAAGASTACATGCAAACTAAGGCAAAAAGAGATCCAATCTTATTAGAACATCCTGGAAACTACAAAGTTTAAAACCTAACCACACACATACAATGAACCTAGAGAATTACAATCACTATTATTTTAATGGGTTTAGATGGAAAACATAAATTATCTTAATGATTTCCAGATTCCTCCGATAGAAATTTTGACTGAGCTAAAATCAGATAAACAGAGTATCAAAGACTTTAGTTCCAGATGCCTCCAGAACAATTAAAAGACAGAGATGTTYGGAGAAGAAAGTAAATATTTTCAACAACTCATTAAATAAAAAGAAGATGACAGAAAACAGATGATCTTAATATTAAATATTAAAAGCTGAAAGCAGTCTGAAAAGAAATGTCAGTTCTTTACTGCCCTATGAGGAAAGGGTGTGTTTTGCAGCAAGTCTGCAGGCTGCCAATGAATTTTACTGCATTTAGTCACAGCACTGCTCCACAGGAGTTGAACAGGTAACACATCTATGACTACAGAATAGAAACAAAGGTGAAATAGCTGTTCTCAAACAGGGAAAGCTGGCTAAACCAGTGGTTTCAAACATTTTGAGATTTATTGCTAGTCATAAATGTATGCCATGCATTCTCAGATCTGCATTTTAGAAACATATCACAGCAAAGTTCTAGTAGCAGTAAGTTCTCACACAGCACAATGTGTAAAACAAAATATTTGGAAATAGGGATCCTCAGTTGTCATAAAGCATTTGGGACAGATCTTTGAATGACATAAACGTCTACAACTCCAGGAGCCCCAGTGGAGCCAGGACACTTYGCAACATCTGAGGATCTGCACTCTGGAGAAAGTGAGCTCAAGTTTGCTAGTTCACATCTCAGCCAAACACCCCGTTTATGGTACCTCTTACGCTACCTGTTCATGCTTCCCCATGACTTTCTGCCTTTCGGATCCRCAAGATGCTGTCAATCCCAGTCCTATAAATCAATCCTTCAGACAGCATAACAGCACCAGCTCAGGTCTCCAGATGTTTAACAGAAGCACAGCACAGCAAAAGCTGCTTCTGATGCAGGTCAGAGGGATTATCTTTTGATGGTACAGATGCTGCCAAAGGCTTCACTTCCACAGCCAGCTGCTTTGTGGTTTTGCTTCTTGGGGAGAGAGTCTGGGAGCTGTGCACCCCTCTCAGCACAGCTCTTGACAGGGGTGGCTAGTGACCACTGCATCTCAAAACTGGCCAGCACCAGTAAAACAGTCTGAATGATTTGGAGACATTTGCCTGCAGGTACTTTGCTACTACAGCAGCAAGGAGAGCACATGYACCCACATACACTTAACAAAGACATAAAGCCCACAGTTTCAAAAAAATCCAACTGTTTTTTCTTGGGGACTGTAGGCAGGTCTAACTTGTACCACCCACATAGGAGAGACAGTGGGTCTGAGCATTTGAAAAGAGAAGAGAGCGTTTGTTCCCATTCACTATAAACTTCAGCAGTAGCAGGTTGTCTGCAGGAATAAAAAAAAAGGAAACAAAAAATGTCATGCCAACACACACCTACACACACAATTTTAATGGGGGGGGGGGGGGGGGGGAGGCACACCACCACACAGGTGCATGATGAAAAGCT